AATAAAGGCCAAATTCGGAAAAAACAAAATAATTGAAAATTTTATAGAAACCAAAATAACTCTTTCTGGAAGGTGGAACCAACTTCCCGAGCAAATAGTGCCTCCACAGGCTTTAGACATACCTCTTCTCGAACTGGAGTCAAACGAAGGTGTGAATAGTTTCTAGTGGCTTTTGCTGAAGTAATATCTTCAGCTTCAGAACCAGACTCTGCTGTAGATGTATCACTACCTTTCATCTGTTGAAACAGTTACAAAATATATTCACTTAGAAGCAAAATTTAAGAGGACAAGCTCCTACAGTGTGAACTAGAAGACAACACACGTTCATACTATGGGTAGATGAGGCTTGGCATACACCACCTTCCCATCACTGTTGATAATCTTGACTACCTGCCTGCCATGCCGTGCTTCACCGTCAACCACCATCTGCACCAATAAGCCAATACACAAGCTTAGTAACTGAAGCATGTTATGCAATGAAATGTTTCTTTAGTTAATTTTGAACATGAGAATCACATAATCAATCCGGTTTGGACCTTGAGTATCTCAGGATCCTTCCAAGGTCCTTTATCAGACCGGAGGCAACCACCTTGCTCTGAACAGGTACATGTTCCTCCCAAGAAATCTGGCAAGTTACTGACAGCGAATAAAAACACATTAAGATCAGTCCTAACAAACTTCAATGATAGCTCACAATAACAAGACAACTTTCATATCCACCCATTTCACCTCGCATCTATTATTTCAAACAACTTGGTCTGGTACTTATTTCCTAGAACCTGCAAAATTGTCCAGGGGAAAAAAGAGGAACTTAGCATTTGAGCCACATTAACACCAAGTAACATAAATCTCCCAAATTATGATATGCATTAACACACATACATGAATTTTAGTGGCTGTCTTGGGATCAATAAAATTCTTCACAGTATTCCACAGTAACCGAAAGCCTGGACCAGCGTTGATAATGAACATTTGATGGAGGGTCTGCAGTTAACAATAACATCAGTCAATAGTAAAAAATACACAAAACATTATACACTAATAAATCAAATGATCCAGTATTTATACTTCAGGATAATTATCGCCATCAATCTTCTGGATCCGTGTTATAAGGTCCCTCGCACTCTTGTTAAAGTTTTTCAAACCCTGCAAAGCAATTAGGTATGCATAAAAATAGTACTAAAATGGATGACTTTGAAGAATGAGCCACAACTCATGATGGCTGGAAACAAAACAAAGCAAAGCAAGAGTCAACCATACCACGCCATGAACATCCAAAATTGTTGTACTAGAATCAATGTGCCGTTTTGCTGCAATGGTACAAGCAGGAAACTTTATTGCAAAAGCTTTCTCAAATTCTCTCACATGGTATTTTATGTAACGGTCAATAGTAGTAACTTGCATGAGTTTGTTTGGGTCAACTTTCCCTAGTCTCTCTATGTATACGGGCCTCCCCTCCTTATCGACTCCATGATACCCCTGGGGGTAGTACTTCAAAACTTCATTCAGCTCTTGGAAGTCAAAATCCTGGTGGGCAAACACCAAATTATAAGTGATGCTGAAAATTTAAGAGAACAACTAAAACATGAAAATAAAATGTATTCGAAGTCACTTGGAGAAAAATGAATATAGTCACTTGGAAGGACTGTACAGTTTCACCTCAATAATTGTGTCAGTGCCAAAATCTTTCCTCCATTGAAGCATATCTGCCCACATTAGCTTCGACTTTTCAATATCGAATTTCCTTGCTTTCAAAAATCTGCAGGCACAACTCTCATGTGTAAAAAACTTTTTACAGTTTTTTTATTTAAAAGAAAATCACAATTGTAGTAACAAGTAAGAAAAAACTGCAACGTTGTACAAAAATATACTTGAAGCTGCAAATTACTGAAAAAATAATCAAATGCAGGATCTGTGACCCGAATGCCAGCCCAGTTGAGAGTTTCCAAAGTACCAACCGAAAATAATAGTGCCCTATGAAAGATGTTATGGAGCTAAAATAATGTAAGAATCACACAAGTGGTAAACCTAACTTCTTATCTTGAGATAGAACAGAACTTTACCCTCACAAACCCAAAGAAGACACTTTCAACTCTGGATATAGCATAGTAAAACAGTTCTCCTAGGATTCTTGTTAATTAGTGGGGTTTACAGAATATACGATGTGATTCTTACGCCAGATCAATCCATGTTCTTAGTCTCCATCTGCAGCATTTCACATAATATAAGATTCAACTAAAAGAAGCAAATATAAAGAATGTTGACCTCAACATCATATGGTAGTCATCAATCTTTTCAGGTAGCAGCTCATCCAACATCAAGGCCTGTCTAAACGACTCAACAGCTTGCAACTCCTCGGCATCCCTGATATCTTCAATTGAAACTGAACAAACCCGACCCTCACTCGTTCTTCTATTGCTCTTCTTCTTCTTCTTCAGCGAATGCTTAAACTTTGAAGAAGCATTTAGTGCCTTCTTTTTCAAAGCACCAATTCTAGTCCTCCTTTCATCCTCCGAAGTTTCAAAATCTGACTTTCTTTCTCTTCTCTCATCATGACCAGATGAACCCTCAAAGCCTGTTCCACCGTAAATATATTCATATACATGTACGAAGCCCATTTCAAATACTAAAGCAAGCATGACCCCTATGTAGTATTTACATCTTCAAAATAACGCATTTGTTACAAAACGTTTGTTAGCATAATCTTGGCAAGTTGAAGTTCAACGGAGCAATAATCCAAATTTGAATGCTGCAAAGTCATACTCATACATGTGGGGGGATACATAATGAATATGACTGCACAGAAATATTTTTGTTTTCTTCTGTCCAAATTTAACAGTGTTCCTAGCTCGAACCATAAATAGCAATTTAAGTCAAAACCATAAACAAACTAACCAGTGCAATCGGAGCAAGCGAGGGAAATCATGAACACCCAAAAAGCTAAACTCAGTATTCTAAACAGCTTACTCAAAATCCCAAATCAACAGAAGCCCAGATAATTAACCAGTAAATGCAGATAAAAAAAAAAAAAAAAAAAAAAAAAAAAAAAAAAAAAAACTTGCGCAGATTTAACTTACAAGGCCTCGCAAATCTATCCAAGTGTCCCGACATCGCGGAATTCCCGATTACCAACAACCTACTATAGATTTACTGGTGAATGTAACGATCGATCAATCAATCATCACCAAGTATTCACTACTGAAGAGCCCAAATTCTAATCAACCGAAATTATTACTATTAGATAATTATAATTCTACGCAGATTGATAGAGAGGAAAGAAAACCCTCACAAAAGTACTGGCACGAATCACGAGATTGATCCACGGTAATAAATGCATTGATAGCTGTAACGGCAAGTGGAATGAATAATTTGCATGACTTTCTCACTCCGTTGCAAATCTATTTTTTCTTTTATATTCTATTTTTTCTTTTATACACCATCTGTCACAGAAATTCTATGGTGCCACATGTGGCATCATATTATGGTGCCACAACATGATGTGGCACATTATGATTGGTGTCACAACTATCACACATCATGTTGTGGCACCAATCATACTGTGCCACATCATGTTGTGGCACCATAACACGTACCACATGTGGCACCATAGAATTTCTGTCGTCTGTCAAGTAACTTCTTTTACACCCCCAAAATTCACGATCCAAATGAACCAGCGCATATCTAACCGGACGCATAATTTATGACTATGCAAAAATATTTCACATTTTTGTAATCTCATATCCACATCAAACGCATAATTTACAAATATGTGAACATCTTTCGCAGTTTTAAAAATCGCATATCAAAATCGAATGCAGCATAATTTACGATGATTGTGCGCCTTCTTTTCGCAGGGCTATATCGACCTTGAAAATTTATGACTGTGCGAAAATCTTTCGCATATATCCGCCGGATAATTGATAATTATGCGATATTTTTTTGCTCGCATATTGAAGAATCGCATAACCAAATCGAATAAAGCATAATTTAATTGACGATTACGTGCCATTTTTTCGCATGGTCATATCGTCATGGCAATTTTACGACTATTCGGAATTTGATCGCATATCTGTCGCATAAGTTACGCACCTCATTAATTGACTGCTTTTTCACATGTGAGGATTTTGTCTGTGCATTTATCATGCAGGCAAAAAAAACAGTGATCTCTAACAATTCAACGTCTGCACCATTCTTCTCTACTGCAATTTTCGGTTTCTTTCGTTTTAATTCCTTTTGTTGTTCACTTATTTGAATGGCTACCAACCGTGTTAGAGTATGAGTTAGCTATGGTGGTACATTTTCCGGGGGTTCATATCTTGGTGGAGTGGCAGAGCTTATGAGAATAAATTACGGCCGACAAATGTATTCTGAAGTAGTTTCTCGTGTTCAAGCATTATTGAAGGCCGATCCTTGTAATTTTGAGTACATATTGTGGGCAGTATTTGATGGAAGGGAACGAGTTGTGAAGATGAAAATTGAATCCAGTGAGGATATCTTAGAGCTGATTGAAGAACAACCCCAAAGGCATAGGTGGATTTCCATTCTATTTAGATATTCGGCTCAATGTAAGACTTCAACTATTCTGGTTAATCTAGAACAAGAATTTTAGGTTGGAATCCAATTACAACTACCCAAATAGAATACCAAATACAAAGACGGGAATTTCGTGGAGTTGGAGAAGCGAGTAAATGTAGGGATTCCGTGGACGGCGCAATGAAGCTTCACGCAAATGATGGCATCCCAAGGTGTATTTCTGAGTTCTTTTGGTGTTGGTAGTTCTGCATTTTCCCACATGGCCTCATATTCACATCAAACAGACCCTAGTTTGTAAGTGCTGAAGATTGGCAGTAAATCAATAAACCTTTTAATGTTCGCAGAATCCAGAAATTTACGGAAGTATTTAAGGGAAGTTTTTTTTTTGTATTAATAAGTATTAATTTTAATTAAGTCCAAAGGACTGATTATTTATTTTATTATTTTGGCAAGACCTTGAGATTGAGGGGGGGATGCACTTTTCATAATCTAAAGAGAGGAGGATCGCGAGATTTTATTTCCATAATAAAAGAAGAAAAAGTTCAAGAGATTTTCATTCCTTATATGTGTATGTCTTGGATGAGAAGACTTTCCAAAGGGTGCTGAAGATAAAAGGAGGACGAGACCAGAGTTGAGGACGACTCTCGAATCTGAATTTTTGAGTTATATATTTTTTCCTTCCTTGAGTGAAAAAGAATGACATTCAGAACTCTTTGTAAAAGAATGTTCGGAGGTTCGTTCTTATAGTTTCGAGGGATTCGAACTAGAAAATCCACAAGGGAGTTGTGGTCGGATAAGTAGTTGTGTGAATCATTATTCAAGTATAGTGTAGAGGGACTCTATACTGTAAACCCTTGGATGATGTATGAGTTGTTCACATTAATGAAAGAGATCTGAAGGGAGAGTGGGACGCTCTCCCGAAGGTTCAATTTTTAGTGAAAAACTGCTTCCGCAATTGTTTGAATCTTCATTACTATCTGTCTATTCGATTTACGTGCAACTCTGGATACTTGGGGTTCAAGTATCAAATTTCAATTGGTATCAGAGCGGGTTTGCGTCTCCATTACGAAAGATCCTAGGACGTGTGTTACCTTCAAATCATGAATCAAGAAAGCGGATCGATGTCCAGGCCCCCGCAATTGAATGGTTTAAACTACTCATATTGGAAGTCTATGATGACAATCTTTTTGAGATCGCTTGGAAAAAGCGTGTGGAAAAGTGTTGAAAATGGCTGGGAGCATCCAGTCATGCAACAAGCACCCGATCAAGGTAAAGAAACAACGAAAGTCATAGTTTCTAAACCTAAAGACAACGGGACTGATGCTGAGAAGCTTCAAGAAGAAGCCAACTATCGTGCCTTATATGCGATTATGATGGCAGTTGATCAGACAAGACACAAGATGATTGTTCATTGCAAAACTGCAAAAGATGCTTGGAGGGTCTTACAGCGGCAATTTGAAGGTTCAACGGCTGTCAAAGCGTCCAGACTTCAACGGGTAACTCTTGAATTTGATGAGATCAAAATGAGGGATGAAGAGAGAATTGACGTATACTATGCCAGATTATGTGATCTGGTAAATCAAAGCATGATGCTTAGAGAAGAAATCTCTGAAAAACGTCAAGTTCAAAAGATTATGAGAACCGTTGTTCCCAGGTTTAGAGAGAAAATCACAGCTCTTGAAAGTTTCCAAAGAGTGGCGTCGTTGGATGTTGATGAACTTCTTGGAGAGCTCAGAACTTTTGAAATCAACAACAATTATGACAAAGTCAAAAGTAAGGGCTTAGCTCTCAAAGCTGCTGTAGTCGAGGAAAGAGAAGAAAACAATGACGATAAAGGTCCGTTGGCAGATGATAGTGAGCTGAAAGAAGCACTAGCTTTAATCGCGCGAAACTATGGAAAGATGAGTCAAAGGCTGTATAAGAACAAATTTGCTTGAAAAAAGGGGAACAGTTTCAACAAGAATGTGGTGCAGGACAAGAAAAGTAGTATGCCACCCTCAAAATCCGATTCACAACGAGTCGAGAAGGATCAATGCAGGGAATGTCGAGGCTTTGAACACTTCCAGTATGAGTGTGATAATCCTAAGAAGAAGAATAAGTCACTGAAGGCAACCTGGGAAGATTCAGACGAAGAAGGTACAGACGAACCTTCGTTACACACAAGCAACCTGGCAGTTTATACCTCAGTCAAGAAGTTCATGTGTCTCACCACTTCTCATGCTCCGACCAAGTTTGAAGAAAGTTTGAAAGAAACTGAAGCATTTGAGGATGAAGCAGATAAAATGTGTGTATAGATCCAGTTCACTTACTTGCTATGGAAAAGTGTGCTCAATCATCTGAAGCTCTACAGAAGCTTCAAAATGAAGTGTTTAGACTTTCAAGAGCAAACAGGGTGCTGAACGAATAAGCATCTGACTCCACTGCTACTAAAGAGTGTGAATTGGATACTGCAAAGGCACGAACTTGCATCCTTGAGAGCAGTGTCAAACTTGTTAAACAAGATGGACTAGAGAAGGCTCAGACCATTGAATTCTTGAGGACCGAACTATTCTCTGCTCAGAAACTTCTTGCCGAGCGGAACCAGGAAATCGTACTACTGAAAAATGAAGCTGATCGGCTGATGAACGAACATGCTAGCATGGAAAGCAAACTGGAGGCAAATTCTGCTGAGTTGAATCGAACTGCAGAAGCTGTTCAAAAATTGAACAAGGGAAAAGTAGATCTGAATGAACTTCTTTCCTTGGGAAGACAACATGGTGATCTTACTGTAATAGGGTACACTGGTAGGGAACACATTCCTGAGTCCTCAACTGGAGCTTCAAAGACAAAACATACTGGTCTTGGATTTGGGGACAAACTTCGAGTTGGAGACGTGAACCTCCATGGGAGACCTTCCAGAAACGTGTTTGACAGGTTTGTAAAAGGAACTGTAACTAACCCTCTATCTCCACAATCTCCCTTGAAGGTTCATTCTCCCATGCAGAAATCTGTTAATAAAACTCACCATAACTTTGTTCCTATCTGTCATTACTGTAGTGTAACTGGTCACATAAGACCCAAATGCTATAAAATGCAGCATGATCTTTGTACAGGTAATGTTAGCAGTTGGAATCAATCTGGCATTCCAGTGAAGGTCCATTCCAGGATCCTCTCAAATAACCGTACCAAAACTCATCAAGTGTGGGTTGCTAAGAAATCCTTCAACTGTTTTGCCTCTGTTCTATCCCTCTGGACCTCCTTGAAAGGTAAATGGTATCTGGACAACGGCTGCTCTAGGCACATGACTGGTGAACTTTCATACTTGATGAACATTCAACCCAGTTCAAATGGGGAAGCCACATTTGGTGACGGAGTGAGCAATAAGGTTATTGGAACTGGCTGTTTAAATTTAGGTGGAATACCTAAACTAACTGGTGTGTTACTTTTTGATGAGCTAAAGGCAAATATTTTGAGTGTGAGTCAACTCTGTGATCAAGGCCTTAGTGTCAGGTTCTCATGTGATAAGTGTTATGTGAAAGACAGTGAAGGTTCTTGTGTACTTACAGGTTCTCGTTCAACGAATAACTGTTATCTTGTTG